CGGACACAAAACGAGTCCCCAACTCTACGAAAACAAAAATAAAAATGAGCCAGGCATGATGGTGTGCACCTGTAATCCCAGCTACTCAGAAGGCTGAAGCAGGATTGCTTGAGACAAGAAGTTCGAGGCTGCGTTGGGCTATGATCACTCCACTGCACGCCAGCCTAAGTAGCAGAGTGTGACCCTGTCTCAGAGAGAATGAGAGTGAGAGCGTGAGAGAGAGAGAGAGAGAGAGAGGATAGAACCTTCTAAAGAATGCTGATGAGAGTGTAAATCTATATATCCACGCTGGGAAAAAAGTTTGACATTACCCGCCAAAATTGGATGTTTACATACCCTGTGACTTGACGATTTCACTTTTGAGTATAGATCCAAATAGATCAAGGAAAAGTTTTTGCACATCTATAACAGGAGACATGTACAAGAATGTTCATGACAGCATTATTCACAATAGTACATACCTGGAAGTCACTTGAACGTCCATCAATGACAAGAGAAACAAAGTGTGATATATTCACGTACCTAATATAATAGGGAAAATGGATGAACTACATACATAAAATATAGCTGAAATTTATTAACATTAAGTGAAAAAAGTCTCAAAATATTACAAAGCCCTAATTTTTTTCCTTTGTAATAAACTATTTGTGTTAGAGCAGTACTTGGTTTATAAAAAAAATTGTGCAGGCCAGGCATGGTGGTTCATACCTGTACTCCCAGCACTTTTGGAGGCCAAGGTGAGAAGATCACTTGAGGCCAGAGTTTGAAATAGGCCTGGGCAACATAGTGAGACTTCATCTCCACAAAGAATCAAAAAAATTAGCAGAGCATGGTGGGGTGTGTCTGTAGTACCAGTTACTCAGGAGGCTGAGGCGGGAAGATCACCTGAGCCTATAAGGTTGAGGTTGCAGTCAGCTATGATCATGCCACTGCGTTCCAGCCTGGGTGACAGTGAGACTCTGACTCAAAAAAAAAAAAAAAAAAAGAAAGAAAGAAAGGAAAAGAAAAGAAAATTTGTACAGGAGTACAGAGTTCCCATATATCCTCTCCCCCACCACATACAAACAGTTTCACCTATTATTAACATTTAACATGAGTGTAGTACATTTGTTGCAATTGATGAACCAATATCGATACATTATTAACTGAAGTCCATAGTTTACATTGGGATTCTCTATGTTGCACAGTTCTGTGGGTTTTGACAAACTCATAATGTCATGTATCTACCATTGCAGTATAAGAATCATTTCACTACCTTGAAAAAACTCCTTGTGCTCCACCTCCTCATCCCTCTCCCCTCCCCCCTCCCCCAGAACTCCTGGCAACTACTGACTTTTCATTGTCTCTAGTTTTACCTTTCCTAGAAAGTCACATAGTTAGAAGTATAGAATATATAGCCTTTTCACACGGGCTTCTTTCACTTAGCAATATATATTTACGATTCCTCCATATGGCTGAGTGCAGTGGCTCACACCTGTAATTCCAGCATTTTAGGAGGCCTAGGTAAGAGTGGTGGCATGCACCCATATTCCCAGCTACTTGGGGAGCTGAGGTGGGACGGTCACTTGAGACCAGGTCGAGGTTGCTGTGGTCTGTAGAGCCACTACACTATAGCCTGGGTGACAGAGACCCTGTTTCTAAAAACAGATTCCTCTGTGTGTGTGTGTGTTTTGAGTCGGAGTCTCACTCTGTTGCCCTTGCCCAAGCTAGAGGACAGTGGCACGCTCACGGCCACTGCAGCCTCAACCTGCTGGGCTCAGGTGATCTTTCCACCTCAGCCTTCCAAGTAGCTGGAACCACAGGTGAGCACCACCATGCCTGGCTAGTTTTTGGATTTACTGTAGAGATGAGGTCTCACCAAGTTGCCCAGGCTGGTCTCGAACCCGTGGGCTCAGGCAATCCTCTACCTCAGCCTCTCAAAGTGCTGGGATTATAAGTGTGAGTCACCAAACCCAGCCCTTTTTTTTTTTGAAATGGGGTTTCCCTCTGTCTGACCCCTAGGCTGGAGTACAATGGAATCATCAGATAATGATAACTTCAAACTCCTGGGCTCAAGCCATCCTCCCACCTTGGCCTCCCAAAACAGAGGGATTATACATGTGAGCCACTGTGCCCAGGCCCTCCATGTCTTTTTTGTGGTTTGTCAGCTCATTTCTTTTTATCACTGAATAATATTCTATGCTATGGATGTACCACTTTGTAGCAGTTTATCCATTCACTTAAGGACATCGTGACTACTTTCAATTTTTGGCAATTATGAATAAAGTTGCTGTAAACATTTGTGTGCAAGTTTTTATGTAAACATAAGTTTTCAAGTCATTTGAGTAAAATACTTAGGAGTTAAGTTTAGTTTTGTAAGAAGCTGCCAAACTGTTTTCCAAAGTGGCTGTGCCCTTTTGTACTCTCACCGGCAACGAATGAGAGCTCCTGTTATTTACATCCTCAGTAACACTTAGTGTTGTCAGTATTTTGGATTTTAGCCATTCTAGTAAGGGTGTAGTGGGCATATTTTTATTTAGGAAAACAATTCAAATACACATGTGCATAACACATTTTTTAGGACTACATATACATGGAAGGAAGCTTTGTAAAAGGAAAGCAAGAAATAGTAAAAGACAGGATTCAGAATGATGATCACCCCAGGTGAGATGTGTGTGAGTGTGGGGGAGAGAGGTTAGTGTGTGGGGGAGGCACACCATAGATTTAGATGTAACTTGATGTCATTATAACTTTTTTAGGGTGGTGAGTTTGTGGCTATAATTAATAAAGGTGGATGAGGTAAACTGAATAATGGCCCACCAGAGACTTAAATGCCTTAAACCCCAGAACTTTTGTGAATGTTATGTTATGGTAAAAGAGATTTTACAGATATGGTTGAGAATCTTGAGATGGGGAGATTATCTTAGCCCAAAATAATCACAAAGTATCCTTGTAAGTGGAAGAGGGAGGCAGGAGGAGAGATATAAGTACAGAAGCAGAGGTCAGAGAGAAGACACTAAGCTTGTGTCTTTGGAGATGAAGAGGTCAACAGGCAGGGAATGCAGGCAGCCTTTGGAAGCTGGAAAAGGCAAGGAATGAGCTCCGGCCACACTCTGATTTCAGCCCAGTGAAACTGATTTTGGGCTTCTGAACCCCAGAACTGAAGATAAAAAAATTAAGCCTCTAAGTTTGTAGTTGTTTGCTACAAGGGCAATAGAAAACTTATACAGTGGTCCAGGCACGGGTCAATGAATTGAATTACAATTGCATCCAGTACTACACCTAGGTCCAATGACAAAAATAGATAAAACCTTTGAATGGCTCCTCACTACCTGGAAGATAAAGCTCAAATTCCTCGGTATGACAAAGACCTTGACAACATGGTTCTACAAGGCCCATGCCCATCTCTCTAGCTTGAGTTCTCAAAACCTCCTACTCCATGCTGTCCCCTACTCCCTCTCACCCCTCAAACCCATACATTACAGCCAAGGGTCCTGGTCTCTGAGACCCTTTGTTGTTACCATGGATTCTTATGGGGCTCAATTCCTTTGCCACTATCTCTATGGAGACTTCCAGGTTGAAATCTCCTCCTCCCAAAATTGACAATACAACCCTTGCTGCACGGTTGACTTCATCGAGATTAAGATTCAGTGGCACCCACAGCACAGCACAGAGGTCTTCAGAACATATTTGCAGAATGAACTCTTCAGGTACTGTAAACTGGGACCATTAAGCTCTGGCAACAGGTTGGGAGAGCTTTCTTTACCACCCCCCTTCACTAAGCTACAAGAGCAGGTCAGTTCAATAACATTCTTCTGAAAGTGCTTAAAGGAGCAAAAATTATACCACGAACTGTTGGGGTGGGGGTGGGGGGAGGTAGATCCCAAGGGGCTGCAGAGCAGTTTGACCATGGCATCCCTTATCTTTTCATTTTTTTGAGTTGGGGGTCTTGCTCTGTCACCCAGGCTGGAGTGTAGAGGCACGATCACGGCTCACTGCTGCCTCCACTCCCAGGGTCCAGGCAATTCTTCTGCCTCAGTCTCCCGAGTACAGTAGCTGGGACTCGGGGCATGCGCCACTACGTCCGGCTAATTTTGTAATTTTTTTGGCAGAGACAAGGTCTTGCCCGGGCTGATCTAGAACTCCTGAGCTCAAGCAATCCTCCTGCCTCGGCCTTCCAAAAGTGCTGGGATTACCGGCAAGAGCCACCACGAGGGGCCATGGTTTCCTGTATTTTCATGCAAGACCGCATCCCCCATCCACATGATTAATGTCCGTAAATGCAACCTTAAATCTGTGCCCGTGTCTACCCAAGGCTTTTTTTTAAACTCCAAGAATTAAGAGGGTAAGAGGGCAAGTCATTCTAGCGGACGGCTGCTCTTCTTACTCCCTTACCCGATGAGATAAAGGATAAGGAAACCTTTGAAACTTGTGGAGCAACTTACAAGCAGGCTACCTAGGCGAGAAAGACCTATTTACGGAAAAACTCGTCCCAGAGACGCAACCGGCCCTCGGAAATCCCGAGCTCCCCCTCCCCGCCCCGACCCCCTCGGGTCCCTACCAGGCCAGCCCCGGTCA